AATAAAATGGTTTCTTTCCTACATTTGTGGAGAGGATTATCTGGGTTGGCAGGAGATTTTATTTTTAATTATATTTTCCCAACATATTCCTGCTACCAGGTGCACTGCTAGACTTTATCAGCAATTCTTACAATTACCCAGAAAGATCAGCATTGCTACCTTTGTTTTAACAAAGAGTTAAACTGAAAAACAAAGGAAAGGTGCTGTGAATCAGGGACAGAACTAGGAATGAAGCCAGGAGTTTGAACGCTAATCCTCAATGAAAAGGAGAAAAAGAAAAACCAAAAAAGAACACAGCTGTTCCCTCAAGTAACTTAGTGTGATCGTTCGAGCTAAGTGAAATGGCTTCCCCCTAGGGTTCAGTGCAATGTAATGCCTCATTCTCTTCAGGAGCAGTTATCTGTGGAGCATAATCCTGTAATCCTGCTGCTTTCACAAATTCAGGGAAGGTCAAGGAATCAGATTTTATGCCAGTACGACCTTTTTGCTCTAAGAATAAGCCAATAGTGTCCCTATAGGGAAGTGTGATGCTGCGTTTGAATAATGGCTCTTCAATTCCCAGTAGCTCCCGAGTATGCCGAGAAATTACCTGAAATGCAAGGATAATTTTTTAATGGGACTAACCTGAAAACAATTAAATCAAAGAAGTTTTATTTAGTTTCCTAGGCCTCTTGAATGCTAACCCCTCAAGTTATTTCTATGGGAAAATAAAATAATAAAATAAATTCACAGACTTACTAGCCTGGCCTTAACAAAACCAAGTTCTTTTCTTTTCTTTTTTTTTCCCCAAGAGACAGGGTCTCCCTATATCACCCAGGCTGGAGTACAGTGGCATGATTATAGCTCACTGTACCCTCTAACTCCTGGCCTCAGGTGATCCTCCTGGCTTAGCCTCCCAAGTAGCTGGGACTACAGGCACATGCTGCCACACCCAGCTAATTAAAAAAATTTTTTTGTAGAGATGTGGTCTCACTATATTGCCCAGGCTACTCTTCAATTCCTACTGCCAAAGTGCTGTGATTATAGGTATGAGACACCATGTCTGGCTAAAACCAAGTTCTTAAGAGAAACATCACATAATTTATTATCCCTTTTAAAGTTCCATTTAAAGATGTTTCCAGGCCTTGAATCAGATGGCCACAATGGGATCATTTTTTTTTTGCTAAGCAATTTGACCAACCATAAGAGCAGATAATATGTTCAGACTAGGAGCCATGACTATCCCTTGGAAGGTAAATAAATAACTTGTCTATTTATTGACAAGGGCTCAGTGAATTTGCAAGTAAGGAAAAAAAAAACCATTACACAAATAGTTACCTAATTTTTTTTAACTAAAAAATAGATCTCAAACACTAAAAAGCAGACATTAAAGTTCCAGATGCTTTATTAGTACTCGTATATCCTTTTAAATATCTTTTGCCACAATTTTCAGTGTCTCGAAAACAAAATTTGAACTCATTGAGCACCATGCCACTTCATATCCTAGATTAATTTGTGATTGCTTTTTAAAATTCTAGTTTTAACCATAGGTCAGTTATAACACTGCCATCTGAGTTCATATTCTGCATCTGGATGAAGATGTAGTTCATGAAATTGCTGCTAGACCACAACCAAAGGGGTATTTGGAATGGATTTTTTGAAAAATACAAAGCTGTGGATCTTTAAATTCATGCCACAGACAATTCTAAACCTGGTGTAAAACTGCCCATTAGCAATGCATTTTAGATAGGCACGATATCTTTCTTCTCAAACCTTACTTTAACTAGTTTTGTTTAGACTCCAGAGATGGCTTATGGGTAAAACACAGAGTCTACATAGTTGCTTGGCATTCCCAGTGAAAATGCTATTTTTTCTTTTTTTTAAGAGACGGGGTCTCCCTGCGTAGCCCAGGCTGCAAAGCAGTGGCTATTCACAGGCACAATTACAGTGCACTGCAGCCTGGAATTCCTGGGCTCAAGTGATCCCCCGGCTCAGCCTCCTGAGTAGCCCAGTGAGAATTCTAATTGAGGTCTATAGCAATTGGGGTTTCTAAGAATTGAGATCCAAATTACTATAAGTGGCTCTTAAGAGTTCTCATTTGTGACTGATGCTGCTACATTGAGCACCTTGTTTGGTACCTCACTCTGATTCTCCTTTAGTATATGTGCTGCTGAAGCAAGCATCCTGATTATTTAGAATGCCCTAAGATATTTCATAAATTCCCTGATGTTTACAGATGGAGCCCCAGGAAGTAAGTGGCAGTCATATACACATTCTTTTTTTGAGAACAGAGTCTTGCTCTGTTGCCGGGCTAGAGTGCACTGGCATCATCATAGCTCACTGCAACCTCAAACTCCTGACCTTGAGCAATCCTTCTGCCTTAGCCACCCAAGTGGCTGGGACTACAGGTGTGCACCACCACACCCAGCCAATTTTTCTAATTTTTGTAGAGATGAGGTCTTGCTCTTGCCCAGGCTGGTCTTGAACTCTTAGCCTCAAGTGATCCTTCTGCCTTAATCTCCCAAAGTCCTAGGATTACAGGCATGAGCCACTGCACCCAGCCTCACATTTATTATTAACAAAAAGAGCTATGTGCCCACCGTGGGCCGAAAGTCCAGTACTGTTTAGTACAATATTCCTATGCAGAAATTAAGTGTTCCTGACACATTCATGTGTTTTTGAAAAGCTTTTTGTTTGTTTTTGGAAGGGAATGTACATGTAATCTACTGATATTCCTTTTCATGGGCTATAACAGCAAATGGTATGGGTTTCTTAATAAAAACAAGTTTCTTAAAAAAATAGAAATTAAAAGTGTTATAAAGCTATGGTTACATGTAGAAGAGTCACATTGGAATCAAGAAATAAAATCTAATTATCCCTCCTCTAATTCATTGATTCTTAAAAGTATGTCTGTGGTTCATCAATGAAACAAGAGGGTCCTCTGATAGGCCATAAATTGATCTAAAATTGCAAGAACTTTCTTTAGTTCTGATGAACAAATAACAAGCAATAGAATATTTTTACCTAAGACTTACACCAACTTACTAGTAAGTTACTTGAGTTAGTAAGGATTATTAGAAATAGGTATTCTTGAAGATTATTAGAGTCTTCTAAGGATTCTTAATTCCACATTCTAGGATGGTGGCCCATACTCAATGCCTGCATCACTGCAGAACATCTTCTGCACATGGCCTCAAGCAGTTATTTGTAATGCCTATAGTTTTCAAGAAGACTCTATTACTACATCATCATCATCTCTTGTGTGGAGCATGGTTTTCAAAGGTTGCTGTTCTTGCTTTAATTGTAAACTACTGATGGTTTTGCTTCATCATTACCAATTTATTGTGTACTCTTTAATTACCCAATAGTATATAACTATGTACATTTACATAATTGGAACCTATAATTTACTTTAACTAAACCTAAAGACATAACTGTTATGGTTCAAATATGAATCATCTATACCACTATTATTAAAGCAGATATATAGTCTCCTTAAAATCTGCTTGTTGATTCATGTAATAGCATGCATTAATCTTAAATGCCTTTTGCTAAGGGAAAGAAGCCAAACTTAAAGGCTACATATTACTTGATTCCATTTATGTGATATTTTAGAAAAGGCAGAACTATAGGGAAAAAAACCAGATGAGTGGTTGCTAGGGATTGGAGTGGAGGAATGAGCTAACTACAAAGGAGACACAGAGGAAAATTTTAGGATGATAGAATCGTTCTGTATAGTTCTCTGGTGGTGGATACATGACACTATGCATTTGTCAGAACCCACAGAACTGCATACAACAAAGAGTGATTTTATAGTATGCAAACTTTTAAAAAGCCAGGATATTGAGGGAACCCAGGATGGAATATAGGCTGTGGACAAATGACTCTAACTGTATTATAAAGTAAGATATAATCTCACTGAATGGGGTAGGGAAGAAAGGAGCTGACTTAAATAACTTTAATTTTGGAAAACAGTGCTTTGTCTAGATACTGTAAGGCTAAAGACAGAAAGAACTATACAAACATTGAACTGTATTTGGTAAATTTGTTTCTCATAGGGATATATAAACTTATAGATAGGGGGAGCCAGGTTTCTGTCAGAAAAAGAAGTTATAAATAAGCAAGGGGGCTTGAGAGTAGGAAGGATGGGAAGGCTAGAATGAGCTACGTGATGTTGGACTAGCGTCAGAGATACCAATGTGAACTCATACTTATTTTAATACAGGTATATATACAGCTATATAGATAGATAAATGCAGAAATAAGATAATTGTGTCCACACGTAGTTAGTATACATACATATATTTCCTAGATCTTTCTACTAAGAGTGCCTAGAAGCAGTGACACTCCAGTAGTAACAAGCACAACCAGTGCCCACATCTTGGTTTCTAAATACCATTCTCTAATAAAAGCAACTAGGGCTCCTTGGAGACATGGTTGATTTTAGGGCTGCAGCAAGAAAAAGGTGAGCCTGAAGCAACTTGTAGTGCCAGAAAGTAAGGAGATGCTAAAAAAAAAACAAAAAACAAAAAACACGTCAAAAGGATAGAGGAGCCAATTTATTAATAAAAGAGCTCTCAGTAGTGAAGGATAGAATGATTTGAACAACAAAATAAATAATAGTATTGGATTATAACCCAAAGAATAAATATCCATAAGTCCATACTAATATAAATGACTGAATAGATTTTATTTTATTTATTTATTTTTTTGAGACAGAGTCTCACTTTGTTGCCTGAGCTAGAGTCAGCTAGAGTGAGACCCAAAAAAAAAAAAAATTTTAAAAAAAGAAAAATATTTTTGTCTAGTGATACTTAATTGCTGACAGGTTGTTATGAATCTCTGCTATTTAAATTGTTTGCAACAAGACAAGGGTAGTAAAATTGTTGAGATATTATAGTGTTTAAGACTATACTTTATAATATAAAATGATGCATACAAATGGAATAAATAACTCATCATGTTCTCCGAATATTTATCACAAAATTCTTTTGTTCACTTGATGAAGTGAATAGTCAAAAGTATTTTGAGAATTATTTTCTAAGAGAAAAAGATGAAGCAAATATAATGCTATCTTGTCTAGCTTGTCTTTACAATAAATAAGATTGACTTTCTGTCCCCTAATGTATCATTACAACTGGGAAAGACAGGTCAGTGGTTTCAAAAGCTTCCTTGGCTGGTAGAAAGCAGAAGTAATGCTTCTTTCCTCCTATACTCCTCACCAGTCTCACACAAGTATTTAGCTTTTCTCTGGTCCTCCTAGTATGTTGCACTAAGGACAAAAGGAAAGGTTATTTCTGCAGGTGAAGCATGAGTAATTCCAGAATTAAGGAAGTAAAAGAAAGCTTTGAAGATAATAGAAATTGGCCATAAATTAACTGCAAGTCTTGTAAAGGGAGTGCACAGTGGAAATGAGGTTCAAATTCTTAGCAGCATGTCCAGAATTCTGTACTCTCAAGCAACTTCCTCTCATTTTTCCAAAGTCCATAAGTGATAACATGGGAGACTTAGCATGAAAAAGATAACTATGCTGTTTAAGTGTTGTTACGGGATAAATTGTGGGTGTACTAGGTGCTATAATTACAATGGAGAGATTAAAAATGCTTCCTATATCAGTAAGGAAGGTAATTATAGCATACTTAAGTTCATGTGTGATCTCTAAGAAGTTACCTCTGTCTTAGAGTATAATTAGCTTTTTTCTGTGGACCTCAGTATCAAGCAAAGGTTATCTAACATACCTTTGAGCATCTTGATCTTTCTGTTACTCTCATGACCTCAAGGAATGGCCAAATTTGTCTAGTGACTTTGATAAGTATTCCAAAGTTTGCTTATTCAAACTTCTCAGGATATAAGGATTCATTACTGGGTTCATCATTTACTCTTAAGGATTTCAGAAGATTTTTAAGACCTCTCGTTTCTTGCAAGACCAGAAAAAGCATAACTAGAATCTTTATTATTGCATGTTGATATTGTACTTTTGGAATTAGAATGTCAAGGGAGCAAAATGAGTTGGCAGACTCTTAAAAATGCTTTCTCATGATAAAAAGCAGAAATTCTTGGTATTTAAATGTTTTAGGAATTTGGAGTACAGGTTACTATTTTGCTAGTTCTGTTCCTTATTTCGATTTAGAAAATTCAGTACACCCACAAATATAAGTAAATATTAGAGCTCATAAACATAGCTATATCATCTTTGAACATAAAAAGAATGAGATATTTATCTGGCAGTACTTGGTAGCTAAATGAAGGCATGGTTGGAAATACCAATATATAATAAGTGGTCCTTTCCATATAATGTACATAGATGTTTACAGTTACAAAAAGTTCATTGAGAAAGGCAATATACTGTAGTGGTTTAAACAGAACATGGTTTGGGAAGTCACACAAAATGGATTTGAATCCTGGCTCTTAAACTTATTATCTGAATGACCAGTTGCTTCATCTTTCTGGGCCTCAGTTTTCTCTTCTGTAAATGGGAATTAAGTAAAATAATATGAACAGTGCCCAACACATAGTAAGCACCCAGCACAGGATAGCCATTAGCAGAATTCAAGAGATTAAATGTTCAGTTAGGACTATGTGTTTAATAATTTAAAGAATTTCCTTAGCTGAGAGTGGTGACAAGCACCTGTATTCCTAGCTGAGGATGAGGTGGGAGGATCGCTTAAGCCCAGGAGTTTAAGGCTATAGTACGCTATGGTCATGTCACTGCACTCCAGTCCGGGTGACAGAATAGACCCTATCTCTAAAATATATATATGTATATTTTAAAGAATTCCTTATATCTTGTTGCCAGTAAAAGGACTTGGATATTAACAAGTGTAGTTTTCCTATTTTCTAAACCATATGACTTAGGGAATTACAAGGTTCTAAGGCCTGATGAAGAGTCACCTGGAGAACAGATTCCAGGGCCTACACTAGCCCTAAGGAATCAAAAACCCTGAAGGATAGAGCCTAGGAATCTATCTTTTAAAAAAAAAAGTATCATCTGATTCTAAAGACTATCCAAGTTTGGGGACCACTGAGGTAGAACATTCATGGGCATGACTGTACTGAGTGAAACCACTGTTATGTTGGTGTGGTGTGCTAAAGGAAAGGTTACAAATGCGATCAGGTATGTGACACTTTGTAAACTGCAAAACACTGCAAATGGAGGGTACTGTTATATAAAGGTATGTAATCATGAACTGTTGGTGATGGAGAGATTTTAGGAAATTGAGGCCCAGAGAGGTTAATGTAACTTGTTTCAAAGTTAGGCAGCAAAGCAAGCAAAATACATACGGTGTTATATAAGTGCCAAATGGATGTTAGAGACATAACGTGTTATGAGAGCTTGGGGAGGAGGGGTTACTGTGGGCTAAGAAGGTCAGGAAAGACTTCTTGAGGAGATGAGAATGAGGAGTTGGTTCTGCAGGATTACGACTCCTATTAGTAATACAGGGGATGGAGAAACTGAGCAAAGATGCAGAGGGAGGAAAGCACCAGACAGGTTTGCAAGGGTGTGAGTTAGACCTAGTAAGCTGGAGTACAAGATTCACATAGAGGAGTGCTAGGCAGAGACCTTACGGAGGGGCTTGAAGCCTAAACTAAGGAGCTGAGACTATCTTGAAAGCAGAAGGGATCTAAAGAAGGTTTCTGAATAGCACATAAGTAGTTACAATGTGAGAGCCTAAAAGTAGGGCCCTTGGATCCACAGGGCCCACAGAGAGAGACTAAAAGCAGGAGGCCACAGCAGTGTTCTAGGTATGAGGCCATACAGGTCTGAAAAGTGGGAATGGAGAAGACCAGATGGCTTAAGTACCACATTAGGGACTGGATAGTTCTTGGGATCTCTGTGGGGCTCAAAGAAGAGAAAGGCTCACCACTGTGAGCCTGGGGCACTGGAAGTATGATGACACTATTGACAGGAATGGGAGGCCAGGCTGGAAGAAAAGGAGGTTGGTTTGAGACAGTTGGTAGCATTGTTACAGTGCTCTGCAGGGAACTTTTGGATACAACTCACCTTCATGTCCTCAAAATCTGTTATCCCTATCTGAGGGAGGTTTGAGCAGTTTACGTGGATGAGTTTTCGGCCATTGATGAAGTTTGCAGTAAAACACTCCTGTCAGTACAACGAGAACATCACTCAAAAAAGTGTCCTGCAAGTAGAAGAAAGGAAGAAAGGGAGGGAGGGAAGGAGGGAGGGAGGGGAGAAATCCTGTTTGTTTCTGGTTCTATACTATTAAATAAAAAAATTTATTTTCTATCCTAATGATACACTTTTTTCCATCTAAGCTCCTAATTAAATTTCACACTGCTCCTTAAATTTTTTTTTTTGGCATACTACAATCAGTACTTCTTCATGTCTCAAGTACATGTCTCTGTCACTCAGGTTGGAGTGCAGTGGGGTGATCATAGCTCGCTGCAACTTCCAACTCCTGGGCTTAAGTCATCCTCCTGCCTCAGCCTCCTGAATTGCTGGGCCTGCAGGTGCACACTAGCACACCTGGCTAATTTTTTCTTTTTCAATTTTGTAGAGACAGGGTCTTGCTTTTGCCCAGTCTGGTCTTGAACTCCTGGCATCAAGCGATCCTCCTGCCTTGGCCTCCCAAAGTGCCAGGATTACAGGCTTGAGCCACCATGCCCGGCCTTCATTATACTTTAAGTACAGGAAGCACAAAAGGTTTCAGATCTTGTGTTGTTTTGTGGTAGACTAAAACATAGTTCACATCAGTGAAATAAGAAGCTTATACTAGTTTTTGGTTAACTGGCTAACTTAAATTAATACATGTAAGTGCTCATGATACATATATTTGGGGCAGACGATCAATAGTACAAGTTCAAGGTATGGGAGCTGCCACTAAAACAAATTGACAAAATACCAAAAAGTCTACCTTGGACAAAATCTATTTAAAAATATAGTTTTCTATGAAATGAGGCCTATATAAACTGCTTGGTCTTTACTCAATGATTGCAGAGAACTGTAATCACTGGGATGAAGAGGAAAAACAAATAAATGTGACCCTCCCTTCCTCTCGCAAAACATAAATAAATAAATATTCAGAATATTTATATATTCTATTTATAAAAATATATTTATATAGTCTATTCAATGAACTTATATATATATATATATATCAGTGGCAAGGCCAAAATTAAAATCCAAGTTAACGCTACACAATCCAGGACTTTTCTATACTCCTTCTAGTGAAGAAGAGGCAAGAGCTCAAGTCAGGTTATAGGGAATAAGAGGTAGAAAGATGAGAGTATGTGATTTCAAAAAATGTTATTTTTGTATACCTTGTACTGAGGGAAGCCTAGCTGGCTAATCCACTCTGCGACTTTCTCTGGGTCCCAATCAAGATGCTCAAATTTAAACTCAGTCATTGTTTTTGGCTGGGTTTCTTTATCTTCAGGTACCAGTTCTTTTGACTCTTGGGACAAATTTGAAACTTTTTTTTCACTAAAGAGCTCCCTTAATTCTGTCTGGGACTCTGATGGACATGAGTTTAAGTATTCTTTACTGACTTCATTAAGCAGTTTCTGGAGCTCTTGAGAAAACTCATAATCTGTACTAATTGATTCTATTTCATCATCTCCGAGCGATCCTAATGCATAATAGTCTTTTTTCACTTCTTCAGTTTCTCTTAGTGGCAACTTTCCTGTTTGATGCTTGGGGTGCTGTAGCTCATCCTTGTCTACAGAATAATTAGGTTTGATTGGTTCTGGCCTGTCTTCCTTGGGAAATTCTACATGTGTCTCTCTTGGTTTGGCTTCATCTGGTAACTGCAGATTTTTCTCATCAGTTGGCTTTGATCGTGTCTCCTCTTGAACCTCTGGTTTGATCTCTTGTGGAAGCATTAGACCAGTCTCTGGAGGCTCTGCAATTTTTTCTTCAGTTGCCTTTCTTCTTCTCTCCTCTGAAACTTCTGGTTTGGTCTTTTCTGATTGTTTTAGACTTCTTTCCCCAATTGGTTTTCTTGATTCTTCCTCAGGAAACTCTGATGTGATCTCTTCTAGTGGCTCTGGAACTTCCCCATCAGTAGACTTTCTTGGTTTGTGGTCTGGAAACTCTAGTTTAGTCTGCGCAGGTATCTCTGTCTCTTTCTCCTCACTTGACTGTCTTTTCATCTCTGGAATCTCTGGTTCAGTCTCTTCTGGAGGCTCTAGACCTGCCTCTTCAATAGACTGTCTTGGTTCCTGCTCTTGGAACTCTGGTTTAGCCTGCTCGGGTGGCTCTATCCCTTTCTCTTCACTTGACTGTCTTTTTACCTCTGGTATCTCTGGTTTAGTCTCTTCTGGAGGCTCTAGACCTGCCTCCTCAGTAGACTGTCCTGGTTCCTGCTCTTGGAACTCTGGTTTAGCCTGCTCAGGTGGCTCTGTCCTTTTCTCCTCAGATGACTCTCTTTGTGTCTCCTCTGGTATCTCCTCTAGTTTGGTCATCTTTGGTGGCTGTAGATCTTCAACTGATTTTCTTGGTTTCTCACTTGGATAATCTGGTTTGGTCTGCTCTGGAGGCTCTAGACCTGTCTCTTCATATTGCTCTCTAAGAGATTCCTCTGGAACCTCCAGTTCTGTCTCCTTTAGTAACCCTAAACTTGTCTCACTGGTTGTGGACCTTGAAATCTCAGACATGGTTTCCATTGGTCTCGCTGTATCTGTTTCCGTGGCTGACTCTTCAAGTGCGTCCTCTGTAACCTTTGGTTTAGCCTCCCCTGGTGGCTCTAGGTCTGACTCCTCACCCTTTTCATCCACAGGGACCTCCAAATTTTTGAAAAGCTCTGTCTCTCCGGATATCTTCCACTTTACCTCTTGGGGAATCCCTGGTTCAGTTTTGCTGGATAGGTCTACCTCGGACTCCTTGGGACTTTCTCCCTCGGATGTCTTACTTGGTTTTCGCTGCACATTCTTGGCACTCTCTGGCTCCCCCTCTTTTAAGTCCTCTTCCTCCGTGTCTGGCTGTGGCTCTTGGTCAATCTCCGCGGGTAGTTGCGGGCCTTCTACCAAGGTGTTTGGGTCGACATTTTCATACAATTTACGAAGTTCAGGCAGTTCAGGTCTGTTAGGCTCCGGCCATTCATCTTCATCCGGGCCGGAATCATAATCCTCGGGGACTTCAGCCATTTGCAGTTTAGCGGGAGCGCCCAGGCCTCCTAGCAACCCCAACTTCCGATAGCGTCTCTATGGATACCACGATTTCCGGCAGTGTCTTCCTGACTCTTCCCCACGTTTTGTTTGTTCTTTCAACCCTGCCTTTAAAAATCGGCTATCAAAAGCACGCAGTAACTCTCCGGGCGTCCGCGTCACCAGCCTCGGCTGCCCAGAGCTCTTGCGGCCGCCCGGGGCAGGCGCTCTCTTCCCGCGCCGCCGCGCCGCTCCTTCCGGCTCGCGGGCTCCCTCGGCTCTTCCACGCGCGCCGCGGCCGCGCTCGCCCGGCCTTCGGCTGTTTCCGGAGATACTCGCGGCTGGCGGCGGAGAAGCTCCTGGCGCGGGCTGCAGATGTCGGACCGGCAGGCGGCTGAGGGGCAGGGCTTCTGGAGCCCCGCAGCCCGCCGAGGGTCGGCGGGCGGCGTCGGGGACGGCCTGGGAGTGGAAGGGAGCCAGGCGGCCGCCTCAGGTACGCAAGACCGGGGCGCTGGCGGGTGGGTGTCTCCCGGCCTCAGGGCCCCGCACCTCGGCGCGAGCCTCCGCCGCACTTCCCCGCTGAGCAGAGCCACCTCGGCAGCCCCTTCGCGCTTGGGGCACCGTTCTCCCTAGGGTGCGACCCCTGTCCCCGCCGAGGCCACCACCCGGGCCCTGGGCTACGCTTGAGGTTATTTTCTACTCCTGTTTCAAAATGCCTTGGTTCCTGCCCAACTTCCTTTCTCTGATCAGCCAGATGATAGTGACAGGGTTGCTCTGCCCCTGGCACCTGTTCAGCTTCAGCCTGGGTTCGGATCCCACCTCCTTCTACGATGACATCTAGATGGCCGACCCGAACCGCCGCCCCCTGCTTCTGGCTCCCCACCCGATCCCCACCTCTGTCCCCTGCCCCAGCCTTCCCACGCGCCTCTCTGCCCCCATCTGGACTAGCAGCCTTGCCGCTGTCCGTCAGGAACCCCCCTTCGCCCTAGCCTCCCTGCACGTAGGCCCCCTCACCTCGCCGCCATCCTCTCCATCTCCTAGAGTGGGAGAGATGAAAAGAGTTGGAATAGGTAGGCTCTAGGGTCTTTTGATGGAACATAGTGGCCAAAGCAAAGGCCGGAAATAGGAATTTTGGTGACCTCCCTTAGTCTCCGAGACCCTCATCTTCTTGTTCAGGACGATGGCTCCATTTCTACCTACAAAAGTTGCTCCATGTGGATTATTTCAATGTCCTAAGTCAAAAGAGTCCCTGTGTCACACTTTTATCTTTCAGCATCCTTATGGTCACCACACACAATGCACCTAAAAGGACACTGTTTTGAAATACAAAAGGGTAGAGGGGAGAGAACTGGTTTCATTAAGTAGCAAATATAAATTAATTTTCTAGGTCTGAAGTTAAAATAGACACTTCAAAGTATAGTGGTTGAGGCACTACTGTGGAGCCAGGGTGCCTGGATTGGAGTCTGAATCCTTAGGCAAGGCACTTGACTTCTGTGTGTCTGTTTCCTCGTCTGTAAAGTGTGATGATTCCTGCCTCAGGATGTTGGGAGGATTATTTGAGCCACTGTGTCTAAGGCATTTGGTGTGTAGCCCTGTACTTGTGTTACCTATTAATATGAGAATAAGGTCGTTTTTTGCTCAGCTGATCTCCCTGTGCTACGACATCAGGTCTCCCTGGATGTATCTCTTCCAGCATTGTGGCTTTTCTCCTTTCCTACTTCTATCTCAAATATCTCCCCTCTCATAGTGCTGCTTCAGTCTCACACACATATGTGAATCACCCAGCTCTTTCCCATGACTGTATCTTCCCCTTAAAACATCCAACAATTTTTACCTTTTTTAATGAATTCTGTTATGCTTTGTATTAAATTCAAAATTATTGGCATGTATTTAAAATTATAACAATAGAAATACTAATTTCTGAAAGATGAAGCAAATAAACACTCAAAAAAGTGTATGAGTAAGTCTCATAAACACCAGTCCCCTGTGGGTGCCAGTATGTATAAATTAAGCATGTTTTTTACTTCCCTTTTAGGTCCTCGTGTGTTCATGGCAAACAAAGCCAAGCATTTTAGATGGAAAAGTCTTAACAGAACTCTAGGAATATATTGGAAGATAGTGGGTTTGTCTCTTGAGTGTGGTTCTTTTTTTTCCCCTTGACATCTAAGTGGTTCCTACATTCACTTCTTTTTCCCAGGACTTTGGTAGAAATGCTTACAGTTACTTTCCTTCCTCTTGTCCTCAGAAAGCAGGGTGATAGTTTCCTTTTATGTCATATAGAGGTTTGTTATTGCAGCCCAGAGCAAGCTCTTCCTCTTGAGGTAGGATTTCTTGCTAATAAAATAATAGTGATGATAGCCTACATGTATTGAATGCTTACCCTGTGCCAGAATGTGGAAAAAGATTTACTTGTATTCTCTAATTTAATCCTGTCAATTATTTTCTTCCCATTTTACAAAGGAACAAGCTACAGCTGAGAGAGGTCAACTTGTCCAAGTTAGGGAGAATATTTACTGTCTGTATGAAATTGTCACCTTATTATGATGAATCCTATAATTGTTTTTATTGGCCACTAATCAAGAATTGGTACTCAAGGACAGGTTATGGTCTTTTGTCTTCATGGTGTTTTCTAGTTTGGTGAGGTGAGAGTTCCACAGGGAAAAAAATAACAATTCAAAATATTATATAATTGGCTATCTTTTAGTACAGTTCTTTATGTACTTTATGTACTTATCCTCTAAGAAACCTGACTGAAGACAGGAACAGAATCTATCTTGCCTGTTTATCTAGAGCACTCGATGTTGTGTCTTAGAGGTTTGGCAAATATTTGCTGAGTTTGATGGTGAGAGAATGTCTCAAGGAAAAGATTTGGAGGAGCATCCAATGAATGTGAGGAATTAGGGTTGGGATAACCAAGAGTGTTCTTGGGTTAGGGCAGTGGTTCTCAACCAGGAGTGATTTTGCATCCCCAGGGGACATTTGGCAAAGTCTGAAAACATTTTTGGTTGTCACAACTGGGGGCAGCTATCACTGACATCTAGTGAGTATGGGCCAGGGATGTTGCTAAACATCCTGCAGTGCACAGCCCAGTCCCCACAGTGAAGAATTATCTGGCTCCAAATGTCAGTAGTGCTGCTTTTGAGAAACCCTGGGTTAGCGTTAGCTGGGTTTCCAAAGTGATGTGGATATGCTGCATTTGTCTTGGACCAGAGTAAACCCAAAAAACTGCCTTAAATTGGAAATTCGATTGGATCCTTCTGCTACCTTCCTCTTGAAAATGATGCAATGAATAAGCAATGAAGCTCTAAGAAAGAATGAAATTGACAGAGGTTTCTGTCACCCTCTCTTAGAAAACAACAATAAGAAATGAGGTTGGATATTCAGTTGTTATTGAATTAAGCGTTTTGGTTTTTCAGTTTGCCCTATTTCTTCAAAGCAGGAATTTGTCATTATCCAGAATAACCATAACTCTTTTTAAAAAGTGTTCTCTGCAGAGAATACCTTTTGAGGGTTTTCATGTTTATTCACTGAGGTTTTGGTGAAAAGGAAGAAAAGGATCTCACTCTGTCGCCCAGGCTGCAGTGCAGTGGCATGATCATTGCTCAGTGCAGCCTTGAACTCCTGGCCTCATGCAATTCTCCCACCTTGGCCTCCCAAAGTGCTGGGATTACAGGCGTGAGCCACCCACCAGGCCTGTAATTGTTTTTAATAGTCTTTTATTTGGGGCACCTGGGTTCTGCAGTTCCCAAGAGGAGAGAGAAATCATTCTTTATATCATGAAACTCTCTGAGGCATACATGTTGCATCACTAATGGCAGGTGATTTTTTTTTTTTTTTCAAGTTTAGTGAGCTTTGGTGAGAATAAAGAGCAAAGTCTATAATGACCCTGAAGTTAGCAGTAGAGCTTAGTTTGGTGTGTATGACCCAGAGAGCTATCAATGCATTTAGATGTTGAGGATTGCCAACAGGTCATTTAAACTTGTTCATGGTTCTAAGGTAGGACTTAGAGCAGTGCAAATAAATCTTTTTGCAATGATGGAAATGTTTCACATCTGTGGCTATTTCAATTTACATGAATTAAAATTTAAAATGTGGTGGCTACCGTATCAGATGGTGCAGAAGAGTAGGAATTCTAAGCCAAAGAGCCTTTATGTTTTTTAGGCTTCTATTGTGTTTTTATGTCAACGTGTTAAAAATGTGTCTGCCTGTGACTGTTTTTTTTCTTATATTGGTTGTGTTTTTACAGTGTTCAGATAGTCAATCAGTTATGTCATGATCCAGTCTAGAGTGCAACCAAAGGTGTGTAACCAGAGTGCCGAGTCAGGAGCGAGTCCCACTCATAAGGGCTGAGGAGAAATTGGATCACATGGCCACTGGATTTTGTTGAAATGAAAACTCAGCCAATTTGTTTT